ATCAGGGACCACTGGGAGCTAAGCATCTTTTTTCTAGTTACCTGTTCTCGTACTCACCTAGGGTGGCAGACGCACTTGATTGAAATGAAATTGTGAAACGGCGATGTACGCTCGCCAAATGTGTGTTTATTTTTATCATTCACGGCCTGTTCTGGTGATAGGATTTAGGTGTGGTAACTGCTTTCAAACAATGTTTCCTGGATAGCGGTAATCTCTACTGTCAATATCACAAGTATTTCAGCTATGTAAATACAATGAAACGCACTTCAACAAGGCTTGTCTGAATTATATTATGCTACTGGTCCCAGCATGCCTTTCTCTAATATGGGATATAAATAACATATAACTGACTTTTTCTGGCCATTGATAGCACTTGTTATTTCACACAGAGATTTCCAGTTTGTTGAATTGCTCGTTTGCTGTGGGCACCAGTCGTTCTCGTTCCTTTCGCAGAAAAAGTAAATGAAATGCCTGGGTCACACACATGACTAACTGCAATGGTTGTGTTGCATGCGTTTCACGTCCACAAGCATGAGTTTGTATGCCTTTAATACCTTGGCCTGCGTGTTGTTGCATGCACGCTCTAAGGGTATTGTGGTGTTTTACCATTTATTTTCTGTTCTGTATTCCTTTATTGAAAGTTTCACAGGGTGCCAAATAGTAGAGGGTATGGAATATTCATAATGTGTGTTAGAATCCAGAAAGATCCCAAATGAACTCCCCTACACAATAAAATGACAGCAGTAGCCATGAGAAGACAACAGAACATCATATCTCCCACCTGTCCAAATCTCTCTGTCCATCTTTCCTCCCTAGTTGTCCCTGTTTTTGGACTGATGTACAGACATCTATGAAATATACAATTTAACTACCAAAAGTGTTATTCTGTACTTCAACCCTTATATTACCTCTTATTTATCTTTTTTGTGCTCTTTGTAAAAGCCAGGATAAAGGAAACGTAGTGAACAAATAGTTCTGAGTTTAACCAGTTGTTTTAACCAACCATTGTAACCAATCATATAAATTCTAAATGGTTGGCATAACTGGTGGCGTGGCAGAGCTGTGCCCATTGCCTAAATACATTGTTCTGGAAGGTATCTCTCTTTGTCATCTCAGAAAGTTGGGAGGTGTGTAACAATCAAGCAGAAATAAGGGTTATCTGCTAAAAGCATGTCGAATCTGGTATAGCTCCTCCCCAAAAAAGGTTTTTTAGGTAACAAGTAAGATGGATCACCAGGAGGTAATAATGGAAAAGGGCGATTGGATTGGAGAGAACAGGAAGCAGTGTAAAAACAGTACCAATCCACATTACCATTTTTTTATCCAAATCACTAAAGCTAAACTCCTGAGATAAACAAATATCATCTGAATACAAGAGTCATGTGTATTCTTACTTGAATATTGGTGTGCTTTGTGCTATTTTTTCCAGATTTGTGCAGTAATTCAATGTGAAACTTGTGGAGGAGCTTCCTGTAAAAAAGACCAGTCACTGCTGCTCTCTCTCTTGTGCAGGGTGACTGGTCTTGTATCTGAAGCTTGCTGGGTCCCTCCCCCAGCTCTGCTCTATGTACAGCCTGTACAATGATGATATCGCTGCCACTTTTACAAAATCATTTCTGGGTTTGCAAGGACATGTGGAGCACACAAAGTGGATTGCTATCGAGTTCTGCCTTCAATAACATTGTACATATTCTTTTCAGGCAGCAATACACAATAAAGCGTGATTGTTACTGGTTGCAAGCCCAGCACTGCCAACTGTAGGGATGCTCTTTTATGTGTTCCCTGTAGTTTTGGGTTTGACATCACAGATCACATGACAAGTACAGGAAGTGAATTGGAAGGCATTGTTATACCAAGCGCAGCGTTGCAACCAATCCAAAATCTGTTTCCGCAGTAGATGATGGGTCAGGAATTTAAAGCAGATCCAGGATTTTTTTTATTATTAACTTTTGCAGAGGGGCTACCCCTGCACTGCAAGGGGTTACGTTTTTTTAATTTGTCTAGGTGCGAAAATAACTAAGATATACTCACCCAAAGTTCCGAGCTGGCAACCTGTCACAGGACTCCCTCCAGCCTGTCCCCTCCTCCACAGCAGATTGGAATGTTCCTCAGCGTTAGGGTTGCCACCTGTCCAGGATTCACTCGGACAGTCCGGGTTTCATGGCAGAAGAAACCCGGACACAAGATGTCACGCAGACGGGAGCAACCAAAATTAAGATAGGGGCTACTGGCCCCCCACTGAAAATAGTCTCAACTGTGATATTTACATATGAATGGGTGGCGCTATTTACAAATAATTAAGCCACGACTCATTCTCCCAAAAAAAATGTCAGCGCTTCGCTAGAGTGTTTGGGTTTCGCTTGAAGTAAAGGTGGTAACCTTACTCAGCGTTCTCACGTCTATGCCCAGTATATAAAAGTGATGATGTCTGCAGAGGATGGGGAGAGACATTCCAGGGACTGGTCTAAAAAGAAGCCATCTCGGAGCTTTGGGTGAGTAAATCTTTGGGTTTTTTTTTTAACCTAGACACAAACAAGCAGTTAACCCTTGCAGTGGTGCGTTATCCCCACTGCAAGGGTTGATACATTTCTTTCCTGGAGTTCTGTTTTAAACTCCTGACACATTCCCCAACTGCAGAAAAAAAAGTTGATGGCCCCTCGAGCTGTGGGATAATGGGAAAGTGGAATCTTCCAATGAGCTGGCAAACTTGACAGACTGGATCAGCCACATCCTCATGTAGTGACCATTATATCAGAAAACATTTGAATGATGTGAATGGGACAGAAAGTAAAAGATTAGGATGACATCATAGGTCTAGCAGGGAAGTATACCTAGAAATACCATGCAGAAGGAAGATCCTGTTCTAAATTTCAAGTAATGATTAGCTACACCCAGTTTACACATCAATGTAATTAATGATTTCTTTACATAACTTAATTAAAACCCTACGCATTGGGAAACGATTAGCAGAAAGTTATGGTGACACATTTTAGATCACACAAGGGCAAATTTCTCTGAAAGTCAGCAGCTTGCCAGATATTCCATTAACTCTCTCTTCAAATAGTTATAAAACCTCCATATTTGGCAGTTGGTTTAGATTTCTAAACGATTTTTTTTTATCATTTACAATTGTTTTACACAGAACTGAAAAAATATTTCATCAAAACAAACATGCTTATGTAATGAGGCCCCACAGAGTGCAGTAACATCTTTCCCATCACTTTCCATTGTATGGTATTGTCATATTAGTGAAATAATACATTTGATTGGTTAGTTCATAGGACTATATTAAAGCACATCTGAAACTTAACCAGCTTTTAGTTTTTCGCATTTAGAAAATAATGTTTTTACAATTTTTACTGTTTTTTTTAAATGTCTGTAGCCACTTCCTGTCTACATGCATGCACTCCAGCTGTGGCTGCATGCCGTTGCTCATTGTGGGCTTCCTGATGGTGACAATGGTGGACCATACCTGCACAATCAGCACCAGCACAGTAATTTACAGACACTCCTCAGTTTCCGATGGGGTTACGTTTTGATAAATCCAAAGTAACATGATTGTATCATAAATCGAGGAGTGTATTATACTACCGAGGTTGGCAGCAGACCGTACACAATGGGAAGCAATAGCCAGACTACTATTGGCTATTTCAAGTGACACAAGAGCCGGGCGGGGAGATGTGTAAGGGCTCTGCATCTCCCTGCCCAGCTCATAGCAATCTGGGAAGCTCTGGCTGCTGTCCCGCCGAGCTCCTGACAACCAGTGATGTCAATGGTTTCCAGGAGCTCGGCGGGATGCCGACAAGAGCGCCTCAGTTTGCTAAGAGTTGGGAGGGGAGATGCAGAGCCCATACACATCTCACTGCCCAGCTCATAGTAATTTGGGATGCTCTAGCCAGAAAGGGGGCGGTAGGCACACTATAAGTGAAGCAGAGTGATGGCAGAGCCATGCCACTCTGCTTGCTGTCCCCTACATAACCCAAGAGATGCCACCTGAGGCAACAGCCTCAGCCTGCCTCATTAAAAGGACAGCCCTGCTTCCAGGTGTGTGAATACTTGTTTCTCCCATTACATGCAGTGGTTCCAACTCCTGACTCATATGTTACTACAGGCCATACCAGCCAGTTGGAGGAACCACTGCATATGGCATGGGTAAACAAGTATTAGATTACCTGGAAGGGTCAAATACCTGCAGTGGCATTTAAAGACACAAGCCACCAGAAAAGTAAGTATGGATGGGCTTCTGTTACAAGGTGGCCCTTCTTTTAAAGTGACCCTGAGGTGACAGGATTTTTTTTGTACTCTATGGAAAGATGGAAGGTGATACAGTCCATAAAGGGGGACAGTGGCCAACAAGGGTATATCTCCTCAATGGGAGCACAGACAACAATGAATTGATAGAGTTTCTAGGGCCTCATTCCCATGTCCTATAAGGTCCAGACAGGAAATGAATTTGTTTGGAATCACAGGTGCATGTGAATAGCTGCGACTGATAAGCCTGTACAAAGCAATGACAGGCTGACAATGCTGCAGGTGTCCGTCGCTATTCACAATTATTCACACATCCAGCGATTACCTGTAGCTAGGGACAGATGACCATCCCTGGACGCAGATAGATTGCATCCAGGGTCGATCATCTATCCCTAGCTTCTGGAAACATCTAGGTCTGTGGATACATGCGAACAGCATCAGACAGTCACGGTGCCTGTAAGCTGGTCATTGCTTAGTACAGGCTTCTTGATCACATCTCTTTGCATACACTTGTGATTGTGAGGAGTTTTGACTGGCGTTCTGCTTTAACAGTTCAGAATATCCACCGAAATATGCAATCAATTGTTTCTTCAAATATTCTGGCAAAGTTCAAGGAAAGTTAATGTGTCATGGAGTATAAACAATGCTTCTTTTTAGAGTACTGTATGTGAAAGTTCAAGAATATAATTTTGTCTCGATTTTTATGAATACTTATTTTAATACTTGACTTTTTTTTTTTCTTCATGTAGATTACCATGCCTAATTTCAGCACACTGACTCTTTGCATCACTGCAATCAGCTTTTCCATATCCCAGCTCCTGTTTCATGTAGGCAGCTCTTGGTTCTCAACACGTCTGACTTGTGGCTTCAGCAAACTCAGTTCAAAGCAGAAGATTGAATGGAATTCCAGGTAGTAATGAAAAACACATGTCCTGGTGGTATTCACTAATGTACTGTGTTTGGCTTAGATCTTAACCAGGTCCAGTTATTTTACTTTCTCTGCATTCTTAAAGAACGTTTTAAAATACTTTATCCGTTGATCAGTCTGTTAAAGATTATGACCGTTTTAAATACAGTTTCTTTCTAAAAAGAAGGGTCATTGTCAGAAATTCCTCTTTCCTTTGGAATAGTTGGCCTGACCCTTAGCTGAGAGTCTGACTTGCGACGCTCTTTATACCCCTTTGTATATAGGTTTTTCTTCAAACCACAGTCATACGCCCATCACTTTCCTGTTACAATCCTTAAAGGACAGATTCATGTTAAATTTAAAACTCCATAGCCACCTAACCTATTCTAAGCTACCCCCATGCCTCTTTGAAATGGATGTGGCGTTCATAGCCTCACTGTAGAAAACATTTTCTTTTGCTACCTACGCACTAGGATGCGTAGGACTCCCCATATACTTAAATGGGCTGTAGCAGTACCCATTCAAATATATGGGGAGTTAATGCACAAGCTTGGGCATGAGACAAGATTTTCTGGGGTGAGGCTGTAGGTAGGTACTTGGAGGGAGGAGCTTGGGAGTTTTTATTTTAACATGAACCTGTCTTTTGAAAACTATATTACAGCTTTGGGAAGGTACAGGTGGGTTGAATTACGCCACTGATTTTTAATATATGTCAGAGGCTCCAGTGGCATGATTTCTCCCCACAGTTGTTTTTAGCTCTACAACTACCTAAAGGGCCATACAGGTAATCTTTCATAGTTGAAATCCACAATTATTTTGTATGCATTATCTGCTTTTATAATGATCGTTGGACAGAACGGGGAGTTCTGGTGGGTATACGTTTACTGAAAAAAGCCATTATGTTGCTTTCTCTGTCTACTCTGAGATTGGTCTTTCCTTCCTGTCTCCATGCCACACTGTCACAAGGACAGGAGGTATAGTTTCTCCAGTTGAGATGCAGGTGACATCAAATATTGATTTTTGCCTAAGCAGTACCCAGAAAACGTACCTTTTGTCTTGAATTCCTCATAAAAAATAGCAGCGCATTGCCTGTGCCTTGAGCATAACTATTTATCTGCAATGTGAGATCATCTAAGGCACTGCTGCTTCTGACTACTGGTCTTAAGAGATCTGGAGTGAGATTTGGTGATGCCACTGCTTTGCAGCTTAATGTTGTTCTTGCTGAAAATAAAGCTGTACCTGAGGATCTGCAATGCAAGTGTCTCCCTGCTGCATTGATTGTGTGAATCTGTGCTTTCTGCACCTGTCCTGTTTCTTCTTGCCTATCCCCCCATTAGACATTAGATCACTAGTCATCAGAGGGGCTACTCTGATTTGAGGAACCAAAGCACTGCCTCCACACAAAGTCAGTGTGTAACGCGGCACGGTAAGTCAGTAATGGGGAAATGATCAGCTGAAGGGTAACCTAGAGGCAATACTGGTAAAGAGTGCTTTGCCCTCTGCCTGTATTTTTTTGGGACAGCATCTATGTTGCAAGTCCTCTTTACCAACAACAAAAAATGCTCTACGTTGTTCAAGACTATTGACCATCTGGCTCATGACATTAGTCCAACCTTCTTCTGTGCATGTCATTTTTTCCTGCTTTGCTTCTGTTTCTAATTTAGAATTCATGGTCTTGTTTTTTTTAAAGAGCTGTAAACTCACACAACTGTGTTGCTTGCATGCTTGCTTGCTTGTGACAATTGTACGCTTATCACTGACTGGTTACACTGGTCATATGGGATATTAGTTGGGTTTCAGATTATAAGGGACCTTCCAAAGCTTTATAATAAGGCATTTCTTGGCCTGGCTTTCCCTGCAATGCACAAATGCTTTTCAGCTTTATATTTCACTGACTGGTGTCCCTGGGTGTAATCTAATGCGTGTAGGGAGAATTTAAAATAGCTTTCCCCTCTTTTTTGGCATCCAGGCGCGTTAATGTGGCCCTTTGTGATAAAGAGTGACAGGGGAAAATAAGCTAATTTATAGGAGTTTGTGGATCAAGACAGAGACATTCTTTGTATTGACATTGTATCCCCTAGAAGGGGGGGGGGAGTCTCATTCAGAAACAGTTCTTATCTAGGATCTAAAAATCACACATAACCCATTGAAGTGTTAAATGGGATTTACCTAAAATAATGCTAATCCTGTATGTGTTTATGATGCCTTTCTGTTTAGTAAAACAAAGAATATCCCCTTCCCGCAACCGCAAGTTTGGCTTAAAGTGATACTAAAAGGCTTTTAAAGGAGAACTATGAGGTGAGTGCTTTTCACTCACCTCATAGTTCTAGCCGACCTGTGACAATGAGACTGTCACAGGTCGGATCAGTAGATCGGGAGGTGAGCGAACACATACCGGCGTTCGCTCACCTCTCGATCCTGTCAAGGCTCTCTGCCGTGACAGGGGAGGGGCTGGATTTCCCCCTCCCCGCTCCGATCCGCCAGCGCTGACTGGCGGAACGGACGGGGGAGGGGGCAGTACAGCTGGCTCTGCCTCTAGATAGGCAGAGCCAGCTGTCAGTCACGCAGCTGGGCGGATCCCGGCTACAGCTCGCGGTATACTGAGCCTAGGGTGACGGGAGGACGCTAGTTTCTGTCCCGTTACCCTAAGGAGAACTATGGGGAAAAGCCTTAACCCCATAGTTCTCCTTTTAAGCTTTTTCAAATGCTGATGAAATAACTTACAACAGATGCTGCTCTTTGACAATTATAAGTTTTCGTTTCCTGCAGAATCAGCTGGTACTCTGAGCACTGGCCCAGATATCGTGTTTTATGGTGACTCCTTTCCCTTGCAGGGTCCTATGGAGACCCCGTTGTGTGTGCTAGTAAGCTGATTCTGCAGGAAACTAAAACTGGTAAGCATCAAGGTGCAGTGTCCACTGTAAGCGATTTAATCAGATCTCAAATAGCTGATGAACATTTTTAACTTAATGTCTCCTGGCATTTATCCTCCATGTATCACTACTGCTTTGACATGAAGAAGAGAGTGGATCCATTGAAAGCTTTTCCAGAAAAAGAACTGTTGTTGCACATAAACAAAGTTTCACATATAGTACTCTACTGTTTTTGTTACAATTTCCCTATTACAACTACAATCATCATATCTGACATTGAGTTTCCTTCCTCCTTAGGACAGTGTCGACGTTCCATGCGCTGGTAGTTGGATGCTTCTGCTTGTATATTTTACTATTCGATGATGCTGTCAATGCTGACCCAGTTTGGTAAGAGGTGCTATCTTTTGATCATTTTTATTCATAAAAACATGAAGATGACCAAGAACTAAGAACTGTGTGTAGGCCAAGGGCCAAATCACTACAAATAATCATGTTTTTTTATTTTTCTGGAAAATTAGATTTTTTTTAAAGTGTAACTGCACCTTTGGTACAATGACATTTATACCACTTTGTGTCAGGACCCCCCGGATGCATTCTACAATCCCTTAGGAATCAATAGAACTGCAGAGTGAATGTGTGGGCCTGGGAAGATTTTTGATAAGCAAAACAGATGACAAACGCACTCATCAATTCGTCACCAGCTTTACAGTAAGGTGCACACGGAATGGGCTTTAAACAGTAAAATAACAAAAAGTTTTCCTGGCACACTCACAGGCTAGCATGTAAAAAAACTTGTCTCACACTGAGGTTAAAAACAGAGGTTTGGATAACGTCTTCTGCAGAAAATGTGAAAGCCGCACAGCCGCGCCAAGGCACCTTTTATAGTGCGGTCCTAACTCTAAACTATCAGAGCCTCCATCTTGGAGCACATGGGGCAGAAGATAAAATTGGGTGCAGGTTTGTCAGGAGGAAGCCCAACCCCCTTAAAGGCACAGAGACGTACAAGGGATCCCGCACATCCCAATGGCAGCTGAGACCCCCCAAACCTCTGTTTTTAACCTCAGTGTGAGACAAGTTTTTTTACATGCTAGCTTGTGAGTGTGCCAGGAAAACCTTTTGCGATTTTTGATAAGCGACTCTGTGATCTAGGCATCGATATCTTTCTGGGTTGGAGATAGATGATTATAAGAGTGGAAGACGGGAGTGGGGGGTGCTCCCCTTTAAGTGTAAAGGGATAGTTATACGTTAATGCCCATAGTGGAAATAGTGGATAATTCACAAGCCTGTATATACATGAAGGAAACCTGTACTGAGAGGAATATGTAGGTTGCAATTGCTGACCTCTACTTTAAAATTCTAGTTGCCTGTCTTTCATGTTGATCCAATGGCTTCCATACTTTCTAAATTACTGAGCCAGATTAATTATGTGGTCAGTTGTTGTGACCTCTTATGCTACATACTTGTTCCAGGTCACTTACTCAGAAATTGTTGAAGCCAGAAACAGCAAGGTAACTATCATTTTCAGAATAAGGTCAGCATTGGCAATCCCTATGTATTCCCTACTGTATTTCATGATATGTTTTATATTTATTAGGACTCAAGATGCTCATATTATTCAGCCTATGAATTCCTTATTTTAATTTCAGAGGCTTTATATTACATGCAGGTCAAGCTGTTATTAAAAGTGAATGTTACAGGGGTTAGGACAAGCTTACTGAGGGGGTGCTTACAACAGTCATTTTTTATCCATATGGTTTAAACCTTTTTTCCCAAAAGAAAAAAAGCTGATGCTGTAACTACGTAAACAGTGTTTTTCTTTTAACACTTAAGTAGTCTATATATGGTGCAAATTATGGTGCACGTTTTGTCCGGTTCTTGAAGAACCAGGACAAAATTTGCACAGTGGGCGCCCCTGTCAGTACCCTTCATCTCGGCATCCCTCGATCAGCTGATCGAAGTAGCAGGTTGAAAAATCTTCAGCCGAGCGCTTGCGACCAATCAGCTGAACTCGGGTATTCTGACAACGGCCGACGTCCGCTGTCAGAATACAATGAAAACAGCAGAGGATTCCTCCATCCATGCTCATAAGTTGGAAAGAGGAATCTGTTATATTTTCTTCATCCTACAAGTTAAATGAAGAAAATATAACCATGCATACCCAGCTTAAGCTTAAACTCCATCTAAAACTACCCTGTCCACAGGGGATATAACGTTGTCATGATTTCACTCTAGAACACAAAGCGTTGTTACCCTATTACAGGAAGTGTACAATCAATGGAACTACTGCCTGGGTCAACCGGTAACAAAACAATGTTTTAGTCTAAATATTTAGAGTGACACTATACTTGGGAGTTAAATCTTAAAGTACCTTCACTATTAACAAAAATATAGTTATTTGCATCACTCGGCTGTAGATTTTCAAATCCTCGCTGAATTCATGCTGACACTGCCCTTCCTTCTGGAGGGTGTATACTTTTGTTCCCCATGGTCCCTGTGTATGTGTAAATTAGCTACCGGCACAAGCTCGCTCCAGTGATACCAGTTAGTTTGAGATTGTAGACCATCACGGGAGCATGCTTGGAGCAGTGGCTAATTTACACATACACAGGGTCCAGGGGAACAAAAGTAGCCACCCTCCAGAAGGAAAGACGGTGTCGGCACAAATTTAGAGATGATTTGAGGATCTGCAGCCGAGTGATACATAAAAAAAAGCTACAAATTTATGGTTGCGGGAAGGGGATAGTCTTTGTTTTACTAAACAGAAAGGTCATAAACACATACAGGATTAGCATTGTTAATAGTCAAGGTACTTGAATACATTTGTAAGATTTAACTTCTGAGTTTAGTGTCACTTTAAGAGGGCTGGGATCCAAATGATCACTCAAAAGTCCAGATTTTCCAAAGTTTTCCAGGCATGCTCAATGGCGCTGGTAAGGTGGCTCCAACAGCACAACATGTCTCCCTAAGGCTCCATTCACACTGGAGCGGCTGTGCGCACGTATGGTGTGCGGATGAATGAATACCAAAGACCAGTAAATTGGAGGATGCTTGTTGGTGAGAGTCTTTCTGTGACTGTAAGAAAAGTGGCCCTCCACAATATCATGCCATTCTCAGTAATATTTCTGATTTTTCTTTTCAAGTCATATACTGAGATAATCATAATAGGATCTTGCATCTAATACTTCATCTCCTATTATTTTTATCTATCTGCTTTTGCTTTAGAGAGGTTCAATTTGATGAGCTGATGTTGTTATATGAAGCTGCAACAAATACACTTCATTTTAATCCAATGACAGCTGTTTCTTGAAAATGTTTCGGGCTTCATTTCTTCCAAAATGGATTAAATGCATTTGTTTCACTCAGGCGGAAAAATACTTTTGAAATTCTATAGCTTTTTTTTTTTTCTATAAAGAACACATACGCCGAAAACTAGTATTACAATTATTTTGATTAAATAAAATAAGGAAAGGTTTTATTCAAAGCCTTTGAAAAACAAAAAAGTCTTATCTTTTTAGACAGTTTTTTTTTTTTAGTATATACAAATCATGTTACTGTATGTTTTGGTGACTCATTTCCAGTAAGGCCTGGGTGACTGTTGTTGTATGTAAGACAGATGGTCATGTTTTATTACCCTGTCTACTGTACTATCTGATATATTACATATGTATACTGTTACTTAAAGGGGTTTTAGTAGATAATTTATAATCCGCTGGAAAAGGAACTGTCACTATTTTATATTTATTTAATAAGCACTGCATCATTTTGTAAAGATCTCCAGTAAGAAAAAACATGTCTGACTGGTTTATAAGGGGCTTGTGACTAGGAGCTGGGTGAAGAAAATGTATAATGATTAATCACTGTAGATATGGCTTGCTTGTTATCAGTTAATGTATACCAATTTGTTTACTGGTATAACAAAGGTAGAAACTAGTTCAGGAAAACCGCTTTTGTTAAAAAAAACAAAAAAACCTGATAGAACATGTACGGTTGCCAGTAAACTTTGTGAAACCGCCAAAAGAAAGCTTCCATGGGGGGTTGTGCACCCTAAGGCTGGGTTCACACCTAGGCGTATCGAATATGCGCGTTTGTCGCGGTAAAAAAACACGTGACAAACGCGCGTTTCCGAGGGCTACTTGGCTGTATCCCAATGGAAATACGCGACAAAAACGCCCCAAAGAAGCTCCTGTACTTCTTCTTTGGGCGTAGGGCGTTTTGTAGCACGTTCATACGGCCTGTAATACGCCCAGGTCTGATCCATACCCATAGGAAATAATGGGATTTCGGTGTTTGAGAGTCTTGCAGAGCGTAGGAACGCGCTACAAAACGCCCAGGTGTGAACCGGGCCTAAGTACAGAATGCACCCAGACGTGTAATCTTCAGTTTATGTGATAGGCTCAGTGCTTTACTCAGCTTGGTTCTCTTATTACTACACTGGAACTGATCACGTTACTATTGCAGGCAGACTCTCCCACTTGGTCCCCAGGAAGTAGGAAGTGATTTGAATGGATATGTCAGTTTCTACAGAACAGCAGCAGGTGAAAATCTGCAAAGAAGTGTGCTACCCTTTGAGCCGAAGAGGATTGATTTGATTTTCTCAAAAATAAATAAATCCACCCACTAAAACATCACCCCTCAAATGAACAATTCATTATGTCATCACATAAAGTTTATTACTATGTCAGAATACAGTAAAAATGCCCATGTCACCCCTACACAAAAACCATATCAAACTGTTTGTTGAGGTCCTGAGTTATGGGGTCAAAGATATTCCTCAGCCCCCAGGGTGGAGGTGCATGGGTAGGTGAGGGGGAGGTTAAGGGGAGGGGGAGTTGGAGGTGTTTTTCAGTAAGTGTAGGGGTTGTACAGATCCCCAAGTCTCTGTTCACACTTAGGTGTTTTGTCGCTCAAAGCTAAGCGTGACAAAACGCTCAAGACAAGGAATCCTATACATTTTATGGCTCCTGTACACACCGGAATGTTTTGTCACAAGCAGAAAAATGCCTATCGCTGGAAAATGTACATGAGCTACTTTTTCTGAGTGGGGAGATGTGTAAGGGCTATACAAATCTCCCCATCCACTCTAGTTGCTAAGAGCCGGACGGGGAGCTGTATATGGCCCTTACACATCCCCCCACCCGGCTCTTAGCCACCTGGGATGCTCTAGCCGGCTTCTTGCCCAGCTCCTGGCAACAAGTGATGTCACTGGTTGCCAGAAGCTGGGCAGGAGGGGGGCCAGAGCATCCCCAAGTTGCTAAGAGCCATGCAGGGAGATGTGTATGGGAGAGAGGCGGGTAGAGGAAAAAAAATGAGTTGTCTCCGTGGGTTGGCGAACTTTTGCTGACCCACGGAGCAGTGCCCCTTTCAAGTGGTGCACTGAGCATGTGCCATATGTTCCATACCCTGGATATGCCACTGCCCAAGAATTGGCCAAATCCCTTGAACACACTCCTTGACTGCGTTTGAGTGTTGTCTTGTGAGATTTGGGCTACTCAGTATTGCATGGGGATTCACCAGAAGGAGGATGACATTATCCCCTGAAGTACTTTAACTTTTTTCCTTAGTCTTTTTCATTTTGTGCAGCATTTTAGCATTGGTGGGGGAGCAAGGTTAATAAATGTACCTTGCTTGTATTGCAAGGTCTGCATTAATGGTATGCATGTGTATTTTTTGTTTTATACCATCTACAGACAGCTTTGTCTACCATATGCAACAAGCTACAAAAAATGGCCTTTAATAATCACCTCATTTCACAAATCTTGAGCTATATAACAGTGATAGTGGCACAGAAGTGATGTTTCTTTTTAGAATATGTTAAAATGATCTCTCTGTGTGGTTTTATATTTTTCAGGGGAGAACCATACATGGTCAAGCTGAATGTTGCAATAACCTCAGGCTACCTCATCTCAGGTAACTGCATGTTACAGCATGGGGGCTTGATTGTACCAAACTGGTTCCAGACATCCTGATCTGGGTGAATTTTAATTCTTTCTACAATTGGTGAAAGGGCTATTCTCTATGGGGAAGGGAAAAACATATATAAAAGGGTCTATGGTATACTGTATTTTCAGAAAATACTACCCTATGCTCTTTTAATCTAAATAGTAAATACAAATGAACAAACAACTAAACAGTAAGTAGAAGTGAACAGAATAAACAAAATAGTAAGCAGAAGTTAATAGTATTTTAGAAAATACTACCCTGTGCTCTGTAAATCTAAATAGTAAGTAGACATGAACACAGTAAAGAAAGAAAAAGGACAATAATAATAATAACCACTGCACCAATTTAACTGCTAACAATAAATATAAATTAGGTAATATATATAGCATTTATCAAACATTTATAGTTTAAAAGGGATCCATGTTCATATAATACATATAGTGAATACATAACTAAATTCAATAGAAGACCCTTATGAGACAATATTCTTATTGAATATTTTTTTTTTAAGACAAAAAAACAAGTTCATGTAGAAATCCAGTAATACGGAATATATGCATAGGGTAGTATGGATCCTACTGTGACGTAGGATCCTCTGGTACACTTCGTTTTATACATAGCCTAACCTACTTCCGTTAGCTACATGGCTACAGGGTTAGACATTGATGGAGCTGTTGCCTTTCAGGTAAGCATCATGCCACTGTTGGTAGTTTGTTTAACAGTGTATAGATAGCAGATATATGTAACTCTTAATTAAACATGGTTTTTAAAATGTCAGGAATATTTATTCTTTTTAAAATGAACCTGTCCTGGCATACAATATTTCTAAGGTAGCAACAATGCTAAAGTGCAGACACCTTGCCGTGCCTGGGGCTATGTTCACACCATGCCTGGACCAGATCTGGAGCAAATCTGCAAATGCAGTGCAGTTCGTTTTTGCATCGTTTTTGCGACATTTTTACTGCATGTGTTTGTATGCGTTTTTGATGCATTTTCATGCGTTCCAATGCATTCCAGACCAGAGAAAATGAGACAAGCAGTATCTTTTTTTTGGTCTGGACCAGAACAGACTGTGCTGGTGTGAACCGAGCCCAGAAATGCCATAGGGATACATTGGGATGCTTTTTTGGTCCGGAAACAAACTGTTCTGGTCTGGACATGGTCTGGAGATCTTGTGAACAAGCCCTCAAGGTACCTGTGTTCGTCTTCAAATCCATGCCTGTAGAGCCCCCTTCAAGTTCTCTGGACAATACTGGCACCTTGACATCTCCCCAACTTGAGATTAGGCCCCTCCTCTTCTGGCAGATAGGCCCCACCTAATACCATTCTAGTGTAAAGCATCATAACTGCCATGGGAAGCAAAAGCTTTGGCATTTTGACAAAAAGAATGGGGAAGGCTTAAACTTGACTTGGGCAGAAGTTGAGGCTTAATAATGGGTGATATAGGATATGGTGGAAGGAACTACAGAGGAGTAAGGAGACTAATCTGACACTTCCGGAAGTGTCAATTGTTTTGGACTGCATAGCTAAATAGGAAGCAGGACAGGTAAGTATTCTTTTCTTTACAATCTGGCATTATTAAAAACATTTTCATCTAGCCACTGAGTGGCTTCATTGTTCAGCCTGGGCCACATGAGGCTCTACAGCAGTGGTTCTCAACCTTTCTAGTGCCGCAACCCTTTGATAACAATGCCCAAGTTGTGGCGACCCCTTACAGTAAAATTATTTTCGTTGCTCCTTCATCGCTCTAATTTTGCTACCATTAGATAGCTATTAGATAACGGCTCCTGGCCGCCCGGGAGAGAAACACTTTCTCCCGGAAAAGTTTACTCTGCTCGATTGAACTGATCGATCTGTGTTTTTTTTTTTCTGACAAAAAATAAATTTAAAAAATCAGCATAGGAATGCATAGCTAGATTACTTTTGGCTATTTCAATTTGCAATAGCCAATAGCAAACTAGCTATTGCACCCGCCCACTGCTGCGGTCAATCAGCAGAAGGGGACCTGAAGTTCTCCATCAGGTCCCCTTCTAGTGATTGACAGCAGCAGAGGGCAGGTGCAATAGCCAGCTTGCTATTGCAAATTGAAATAGCCAATAGGAATCTAGCTATGCATCTCTATGCTGTTTTTATTTCTTTTCTGACTGACGGCGGCTGGCGGCTTCGATGTCAGAAAAAAAAAAAAACCAGAGCAGGGAAAGGTTTACTCTGCTCGATCAAGCAAAGTAAACCTTTCCGGGAGAAAGTGTTTCTCTCCCGGGCGGCCGGGAGCTGCTATCTAATAGCGGGAGAGTTGGGATGTCTTTAGGCGACCCCTGGCAAATCGTCATTCGACCCCCGCCGCGGTCGCGACCCACAGGTTGAGAACCGCTGCTCTACATGGACACAGGAATTAATGGCTATTGAACATGTTCAATTCTCATTGTTATATTCCTTAAACTTTGTAAGTTTTTGTGTTTCCTTCTCTTGCAGACTTGATGCTTATTTTATACTACTGGAAGGCGATTGGTGATAAATATTTTGTGACGCATCATGTGGCAGCTCTGTATGCTTACTACTATGTACTGGTGAGTGCTATACGTACTTATACTGCAGTAGTACAAGCAGACAAGTTGGTGAGGTTGGCCATGAATGAACTTCTCAGGCACAATGCTCTAATGTGATGTTAGATCAGCATGTCTTAATTCCCAATAATACTTCAAATCCTAATTAGATTAACAGGGGCTTAAAGCACTTAGTTCAACCAGGTTTTTTATACTGGTTGTTTCATTCATTCACTCCAGATATGTGAAGGTCCAGTGTTCAGAAAGTTCAAAAACAGGAAAAAGTCAATAATTGGTACTGCAGCTCAGTAAAGGGCCACATACTGCACATGGACAAGGACTTCCTGAAAAAAATTGAGAAGCACTGGTACACAAGTATTTGAGATACCACTTTCGGTTTCCCAACAGCATGTGCTGTAGTGCATTAGAAAAAAACATTTTTTTTCATTGAGGGGCATTGCCCTGTACTTTTGTATTCAAGTCCACTAAATAATGTCCTTTAAAACTTGCCGCAAAATATTAACACATTTAACTACTTTTATTGCTCTGGATAAGGAGCTGGTAAGTAGGCCAGTAGACAGCATCCTCAAAGACTGATTTTATCATGTACGTGAAGTGCCAGGTCTTCTGACCCAAGCTTCTGGTACTCCATGCCACTGCAGCACAAATACATCAATGAAATGTCATATAGGGATTGGCAGGTTGACTTTCACAAAGAGTCATATTGAGCTGCAGGTTTTATTAAAAATGCATAAATATCCAGGCCAGAATGTAGGCATACCTATACATTTTTGTATATTGTTGGTTAGAAGTTCACGGTAACGGCTTGTTTTGATGAGAGACACTTGAACATGAAAGTGGCAGTATTTAAAGTAAAGCAATCCATTTATACTGTCTACTCTACCTAATGATCAGGGTTACTGACATATTATAATTATCATATTGAGGCCATATCAACACTGGCGATTGCTTCTTGGGTACTGGGACTAAAAGGTTGAATTGAGCCTGCTTAGTGAAGCATTTCCTTTGATGTCTGCTGAGTACCATAAATACTATGGTGTCGACAGTGTCTGACATTGGCTCTTTGGGACCCTAGCTTGGATGAGTGATCAACAGGCATTCAGATTAGAAGATTTTAAACCACCAGAGTCAGAATCACTATGTACTCAATGGTCTTGTACGAGCCCTTAAGAAAGCAGAAGGTGCTGATAAATTCATCCTTGGCCAGCCTTGCAAGAACATGGCTTGAGTTGAGTTTTTTTTTTTTTACTGCTTAGTGGTGTTTTGGAGAATGCCCACTGGCTGATGCTTTTTTCTTTCTGTCCTATGTGACATTAACTAATACCTCTCTGTCTGCATGAGTATAGTAACAGAGAGGAATTTCCAACGCATGCCTTTTTTTGCTTGAAAAATATTTAGTAAATATAGTAGTGAGGTGATAGATGCATGGGCTAGCAGAGATCATATTTATATAAATGATGCTGGGCCTGCATGTGCCCAGACCTTTAGACTGTATAGCTTTTTGTTTGCTGAATTCGCAGAACTTGAAATACCTTTCATGTTTTGAAAAAAAATAAGAGATGGTAAAAAATGATTCTATGTTTATCAGATTCATGAGGGTTCTAAATTACAGTTTTTTTAATTTCTCAAGCAGGCACCACTGACAGTAGCCATCTCCTTATACACCTACCATAATGCCATAACCATACCATTTGTTTTTTCACCACACCAACCAAAACCAAAAATCCATACATAGCTATTCATTGTAGACCAGGCCACACCCATTTCACCGAGTCACTACCCATCAGTGATGACACCCCCAAGGTGATGATTAACATTGTCTAAGGAAGATGCTTGTTTGATTCTTGTTTCTTGTAACTGTCAATGAAATGTTCACTTCCATTTTCCCATATTGCATTGGAAACATAAAAGGCAGAACTGGATTGATGTGGACAATTACAACTCTTTCTTCAGATGATTCTGCAATGGGTCATCATATATTTTTCCTGCATATGTTTTGCATATTTCAAAAGATGGACTTTATGTCCCTTTTTGTCCTTTCTGTGAACCTGCAATTAGCTTAGATATGTACTCAAAAACATTCTATGTATATACTTGTTCTCCTGTAAGTAAAACTGTGGCAGTCCCAGTACTGCAACCCCTGCCGCTTGTGAGAGACTTGTCATGAACCTAGTCCCAGCTAGTTTAAAATAAAATATTCCCTGCAATTTTGTCCTGGGCCTCCTAATGCTGGCCAGCTGTGAGCTAACCTCAAGGAGTTTAAACTAATTCATACAATTTTAACATTGCATATATAATAACAGTTTAATCGGAGGATCTAAATTGCCTGACCAGATTAAATTAAAATCTAACTATCCATCCAGGTATTCTAAAATGTCACCAGTTTTGATAATGGAACGGTCTACCTAAGTTTGAGAACCAAACACATTAAACACATTTAAAAAATAAAAACCTCCACATGCCCTGGTTCCCAATCATACCTTTATGCTGACCCTAACACTTAACCTCTCAGCATCCAAACGCCAAATGTTAGGGCATGTCAGTGCATGACATGACAAAATTCATGCCTGTTGATGTGCAATGTGAAAAGTATAGCAAGGCACAGAGACACATGTTCACTTGCGTTTTAAAAGCAGTGGTTCCATTAAAAGCAGTGGAGACGCGTCAGGCAAAAACATGCACCAAAAAAGGTGTGACCAGGCCCATACACTTAGCCCAAGTCCTAGATTAAACCCTAATCATTTACCTCCTTCCTAATATTTAATTTGTAAACTAACCCTTGCCCTAATTCAATCCTCCCCTTAACACCAACTTAAACCCCTTACACCTAAACACTTATCCTCCACGCAGTTCCCAATAATTCTTTTTTTTTTTTAACAAAGAATTTATTGAGTTTTTATGATAGCAACAAATACAAAAACAATACAACAGTACAGGAAGGGCAATGCCCAAATTCATAGGTGTATACAATCAAGATGCGTAAGGCAGGGCACAAATCAGACAACAATACAACAGGTATCATGTACAGCAGATGAAGTACAGAGTTGGTATAAGCAGTGCATGGAAATATTACAACACCGATCGGTTGGAATGCCCAGAAACTAAAAAGAAAAACAAAAAGTCTTACACAGGGAGAGGTGTTTAAAAGTCTCAGTGATACAGAGAGGATGAACAATATTTTTGTGTTTTTTTTAATTTTTTTACATTTTTTTATTTAATAAGAAAAAATTAGAGCATGTGGAGAGTGTCTCTAGCAGTGAGGGAATGCGGGTCTGGTAATCATCATATGATATGTGCCAAGCATCTGGTGTCTGTCAACCAGCAGGCCCAACACGAGGTGAAAGTATGGCGTCTACAGTTAGCCTTGGCAACAGAAATTCAAAATGTGAAAAGGGAAGGAAAGGACCTCCATTGGATGCACCTCCAGGCATCGTGTAAATCAGCTGATCGAAGACGTGAGGGAAGGGAGCGATTACCTTTTCTATGAGGGTTGGAGAAGTCTAAGGACGGATCAAGGACATCGTTGAAATCGCCACACATAACAAGGTGGCCTTTGCGCATGGCCTCAATTTCACCTAGTACCTTAGCAATAAATTTCTTCTGATGAACATTTGGTGCGTAATCATTGACTAAGGTGAGGATCCGGTTGTTGACCGTGGCAACTAAAGCTATATACCTGCCTTCCGGGTCTATCTGGAGGTCATGTTGTTGGAAGGCGACGGAGGCCCCGATAGCTATCATTACTCCTTTATTTTTTTTTCCGAATGGGCAAAAAAATAGTGCGAGAAGTATCTGTTTTTACAGATAGGGGGTTTATCTTTACAAAAGTGGGTCTCCTGTACACATAGAATATCACTACGCAGGGAGTATGCAGGGGTGTCAGTGGCAGGGACATCTTGTAATGGGACTGTGCCTCCTGAGGTAACTGTGACTCCTGAGGTAACCATGACTCCTGAGGTAACTGAAACTGAGGGGCCTGGGGCTGTAGATTGCCTCTTACTCACTGTTCCCTTGGTTCGTGGCGAGCTTAAGGGTGAGTTCGCTGGTCGCTTAGGGAGATCCCTTCCATGAGTGCCTTCCTGTCTTCCATGAGTGCTCCATATCCGGGATTGTACTGCACTGTGTTTCTGAGGGCCGTGAGGTGAAGGAGCCATTTTGATTGATCCCCCGTTCAGGCCGTGGATAGAAGTCTGTCAGCTTCTTAGGTCCCTTAGCCTTGTCTTTGCTTTTTATCATGGCTGGAGCAGGTGCGGTACCTAGGGGAGTGAATCCGACAGGTGATTTGCTGTTTTATATGCTGTAAATTGCTAATCTGAGAGGTCCTGTGATGCAGCACTCAGATCAGGCAGCCATACTCTATCGCGGCCAGACCATAGTTCCCCATAATTCTAATTCTAATATTCCCAAGCTAAAACTAAACTCCTAACACTCCTTAATATGTGACACTTATCTCACCCCAAATCCTTACTCACAATGTAAAACACAATGAATGAATTGAAGAAAAACTATGGGCAAATAAAATCTTAACCCTTACAGTGGGGCTACCCCCGCACTGCAAGGGTTAAGTGCTTGTTTGGCTTAGGGAGCTAAAATAACAGAGATGTACTTACCCGTAATGATATCCCGGGCTGGCTCCTAGACTGTTCCCTTCAGCCTCTCTCCCCCTTCGCTCTGGAGGTCTAAGATCCTGTGAGTCATCATGTCCTATTTAGTATAGAGGACATGAGGATGCCAAGGGACATTCCATCGCTTGCAGCCCCTCTGCAAGAGTTAAGATTTTATTTGCCCAGAGTCCTTCTTTAACAAACTTTCTGGTGTGCTCCACATTAACAAAGCAGATGCACCTGTTTCATGTCTATTTGCACCACCTACACTGGTTTCTATTTTAGAGTGAAAAAGAAACTGGCATGGGTTCCACACCTAATTAACAAAAGGGTTAGCGGCAGTTTTCAGCATAGAAAACTGGTGCAGATCCCACCAGATTTCACCTGGCGTACAGGATG